CGGGCTGGGGCCGGTCCTTCCTCACAGCGCCTTCACCCGCTGTGCGGCACCGTAATCGGGCTTCCCTTCAGGCGGTGCGGGCGGCGGTGCCCTCGCGGCGCAGAGTGGGGCTGCAGACATGGAAGAGGAACCTGAACGGACAAAGCGCTGGGAAGGAGGCTACGAGAGAACATGGTAGGCTTTCCTTTTCCCTCCTCACGTTCTTACTGAGGTGAAAGACGAGGGACACCTCCCTTCTGCTCACTGACAGTGTGTTCTGCCTAGGGAAATTCTTAAAGAAGATGAATCCGGCTCGCTGAAACCGACCATCGAGAGTATCCTCTTCAAGGCAAAGCGGAAAAGGTATGATGATCTGGGGATGCTGGTCAGCAGACAGCTGAACATGATCCAGCAGTGTTCCCAGGTGACCACGAAGGCCAACAGCATCCTGGCCTGTATCAGCAATAGTGTGGCCAGCAGGGCCAGGGCAGTGATCATCCCCCTGCACTGGGCACTGGTGAGGCTGCACCTTGAATCCTGTGTTCAGTTCTGGGCCTCTCACTACAGGAGAGACATTGAGGTGCTGGAGTGGGTCCAGAGAAGGGCAGTGAAGCTGTTGAAGGGCCTGGAGCGCAAGTCTGATGAGGAATGCCTGACGGAACTGTGGAGGTTTAGTCTGGAGAAGTGGAGGACTATTTGGAACAAAATGGGCACATGAGCGATCCAGGATTCATGTCAATAGCAAGAGTCTGAGTTAGGCACCAAGGCCTAGGGATAAGGTTATTTAAAGAATATTTGTGGCAGTGGAATGAGGGAGTGAGCTTGAGAAAGACAACTCCCGGTTAGGTAACAAGAAACTCTGCACACTTTAGGACTGATAAAGCCTTCGCATGAACTGAAAGCTTAAGCCTATCATAAGCTGTATTTATGTGCATGCATTAGTGGACTTAGCCAGTCGGGATTGTATAGAGTTCGTGTGGACAGTTAGAAAGGTTATATAAACAGCTATTCGGGCTCAATAAAGTGTCAGCATTTAATCATGTTGGTTGTCATGTTGTCCCTATCTCCCGCAGAGAAGAGGAGGTTCAGGGGGGACCTTATCGCTTTCTACAGCTACCTGAAAGGAGGATGGAGTGAGGAGGTGGCTGATCTCTTTTCCCAAGTAACAAGTGATAGGACAAGAGGAAATGACCTAAAGCTGACTCAGGAGAGGTTTAGATTGGGTATTAGGAAACATTTCTTTAGCAAAAGGGTGATCAGTCATTGGAACAGGCTGCCAGGGCAGTGGTGGAGCCACCGTCCCTGGAAGTGTTCCAAAACAGGGCCTCATGTAGATAAAGCCCTTAATGACACAGTTTAGTGATGGCCTTGGCAGTCCTGGGGTAATGGTTGGACTTGATGATCCTAAAGGTCTTTTCCAACCTACCTAGTTGATTCTATGATTCTATCTGTTGCCACGAGCCTGCTAATGTTACTGGTTTGGTCAGTTATAAAGATTTAATTCTGAAATTGGCTCCTCTAAGTTGAGTGAGCCTTCCAGCGCCCCTGCTATGCATTTTTGTGTCATTACCCCTTCAGAGCTCCAGATGCATGCTGCTTGCCAGCTACTTATTAGTTGTGCCTGAAAAGACAGTAAAATTTATTTTTGCTTATGATGGTAAGACTGAAAGTATACAGGCTGGGTAGCCCAGATATTATGCTAGCTTATGAGGTGAGGTCTTGATCTGGTGAAGCATGGTGCAAAGCACTGCCACTGCAATTTGCACTGCTGAGAGTTAAATGTTTTTTTAACATACAAATCATGCTTCGAGCTGGGTTTTGGTATCACAGCACCAGATTTGTGTTTCAAGTTGCCAGAAAAATTGCTACATAAAATCTAATTTTGTTTTATTTCAGATTATGTTAAAATACTCAAAAGTAGATGAATTTTTACATGTGGTAGTAAGAAATAGTTTTTGTTTGTTTTCAGAGAGGCATGAAATCTGTTTGTAATTGAATTGTCTGATTTTTTGGTGTAAATGAGTGTCTGTGTTTGTAATTACTTCATGTTTGCCAGAAGCCTATTATTGGATGTCTTCTAGGCTTTTGTTTTAGGAACAGTTCATTCGTTTGCATCTTACTTGAACTCTTTGTTTTATTAGACTCTATGAACACAATGGGCAAGTTCGACTTGGAATGGTACGTAAACATCTTAACCCTTGACTGTCCTGAGTCCAAAACTACTTGAGTAGAGGTGGTATGTCTAATCTGAAATACAGTTACGCTGACTAAATGTGCTTGAGCCCAAAGCTTATGTTTTCCACAAACCTTTATTTTATTTTCTTTTTTTTTAATTCTTTGCTCATTGGCAGTGCTAATTGCATGGCTCAGTATACTGAATTTTCACTGTTAAAGGGAGGAAGTAGTTGCTTTTTTTAAGTAAATGTAATGAACAGTTCATTTAAATATGTGCTCTGTGAGTGATTATCACGTATGGTGAAAATGCAGATGCGTCACCTTTACGTGGTTATTGATGGATCGAGAAGTATGGAAGACCAAGATTTAAAACCGAACAGGCTTACTTGCACTTTGAAGGTATTTCTGTATTCAGAAGTTTTGTCTTATTAATCCACTGCTTCTCTGTAAACCAGTTCCATTTTGCATTTAAAAGAATTAAGACTCTCCTGTGACTTGCATATCATACATACATAGGTTCATCTTTCTTGTTCCTACCTTTTTTTCTCTTGTTTCTGTTGCTAGTCTTTAATTTGCCTGGTTTTTGAATAGTGGAATCTCTGTGACATAAGTTCACCTTGCACGAGCACTTCAGTACAGTAGAAACACTTTGTAGAGTCACGTTATGGAAAGACACATTATGAAAAGTATATGGAAATTAAGCTGAAGTGTTGGATCTAATAAGGGATGAAAAGAACAAATATGCTTTCATTACACATCTAGGGTTTTTCTTTTTTCCGTACAGTTGTGTTTTGATGAATTCTGGTTGGAATGGATGCTAGACAGTTGAACTGGATTGCTCCTTCAGACTGTGGAGGACTTGAACTGTGCATCTTGTACTATATGTCCTTCTCTTAACTACACTATGTATTGAAATCCTGGGGTTTGATGATTTTTGTACAGATTAGTGCATTTTGGGGTGTAGTAAACCTCCACTTGAACCAACAGTAATGTAGAACTTTAACATATGAAGTGAATAGGATAAGAGGAGAATGGAAGGGAGGGCTCATTCCTCTCTCCTCCCTTTTTTCCATTTTTTTTTTTAATGATAATGATTGCAAGTACCATGTTACTTAAAGCACGTGGAATAAAACTGTATGTAGTTTTTAATTGTCTTACCTTTTCTTTATAGCTATTGGAGTATTTTGTTGAAGAGTACTTTGACCAAAATCCTGTTAGTCAGGTACGTACAACAATGCGAGAAACAAGTAACTGAAAACTATTTTAAACGTTGGTTCAAGTTTTAACAGTATCTAGGAAACTGTTTTCGACTGATGTGTTCATTACCATCCCTTTGTTATCAGTCTGGTGAAGTTCTGTCTGAACTAATGAAAATAAGAACCCATCTATCCCCTTTTTCTTAAACATAAATTCTGACACAGAAGACTTTATTAGATTTTTTTCAGGTATTAAGAATTTTAGAAGATTTCTTTTTGTATCTTGTGGCAAAAGTACTGGAAATACAGGAATATGTATTAACTGATGCGTAGTGTTGTGCTGCTGTTGTTACAAGAAAACTCATATAGTTAAGTAATTTTGATCCATAAAGAATTATTAGGAAAAATATACCAAAAATGTAAATCAACTTATTTTTAAACTTACTAAGAAGTTTTGCATTTTTTTTTTTTTCTCCTTCTCCAGCTTGGCTTAATTGTAACCAAGAGTAAAAGAGCTGAAAAAATGACAGAACTTTCAGGTAGGGAGGTAGTATATATTCTTTTTAAATTGGAGATGTTTTCGTCAGTTGCACTGATGTTCTAAGTTCTACCTGGCTGACAGTGCTGAAGGTGAAGTTATGTTGATGTAACGTTTTTAATTTAAAAAAAGTTATTTATCTGACACCAGAGTCTTTATTTTAATCTGTTTTGATCTAGAATTGTCGTCGTGTGTATGTTCGTGATCAAGCCTTACACAGATTGCAACTAAAATACATTTTGTTTCTCCTATAGTTGATTTCTCACCTTGTTTGTTAGTTTTGTGTCTTATGACATCTGTGTGTTCTGTGAGATCAGATTAGATGTTAGTAAGCAAGGTTTCTTGGTTTCTGCCTTCTGTCACTAGCAAACCCTGTGGCTTCAGAGATGAAATCCTATATTTTTTCTCTTCATTCGCTTGTAAGACTGGAGCAACCTTATTGAGGAATTTGAGGATCTATCAATCTTTGAACAATACTTTGAAGATAACAGAGGAAACTAAACTCTGTTTCTGCTGAAATGCTTTGTGAGACTCTTCACGCTCAAGCGCTCAATGATATGCAACAGGGATTTTATTCTTCCTGACTTCTTAAAGTTTCTAATAATAAGAGTGCTTGCAGACTAAATGTCTTCATGTTAATATGTTGATTTACTGTTTTCTACATTCTGATCAAGAGGTCAATGTCTAAGTGAAACAGTTAAAAAATCTCAGTTTGAAAACTCTTATTGTGCAAGTACACTTCATTAAATATATAGTTTAAATATTTTGATTATTTAACTTGTAATTTCAAGTACATTGTGTTTTTCATTTGCAGGTAACACAAAAAAGCACTTAACTGCTCTGAAGAAAGCAGTGGATATGAACTGCATTGGAGAGCCATCTCTCTATAATTCCCTAAATTTGGCTATGCAGACTTTAAAGTTAGTATATACATGCAGGATTTTTGTTTTCCATGATCAGTAGAATGCTGACTGTGAATTTTTGGAGGGGAAGAGACAGTACTTTTTACAAGTAGCATTGTGCACTGTGCTGACCTGAGTCTCTGAAAGGCAGCTTTATGTCTTCTTAAAATACAAGCTGTTAAGGAGTTAAAAATGCTAGTTTTGCAGAAGTTAATTTTCTAGTACAAGGTGCTTCTATTTAGAGGTGTGTTGCTTATAAAAAGCAACAATATTTTTAAACTAAGTAGGTGGTTTTACATTGTGTATGAATATGCTGATGGAAGACCCTGCAGTTATTTTTTACAAGAGGGCTAAGGTATGAGAAGGGGCAGACTTAGGGTTAATGATGATAAGAGAACAGGAAAAGGAGCAGCACTGAATCACAATTACCTGGTGGGAGTTGTGGCATACTTTAGAAAGGTGAATTTTCAGGTAGGATGGATTTAAAAAACTTCTGTGCTATGTGTGGTATTGAGTTGGGATAAATGTGCAAGACTTCTAACAAGTAATTATAGCTAGAAACATTGGCAGAATAAAGCTAGTAGTAAATGACATAAAATATTATTTGAATGACTAGTTGGAAGAGAGTTCCATTAAGAACTAAAAAGCTATTTAAAAGTAATGGATTTACACCTATAAACTGATCTGAGATATTTATTTAAGAAGTCAGGAAGACTTACTGCATTATTGCTAGTTTGAAGGTGAGTTTTACCTATGAGAAGACAGGTAAGGTACTGCAATAACTTAAGCATTAGAGCAAACAGTCAGGTAACAACTACACGATCTATTTTAGATACTGCAAAGGTTTGGCTTTTGGAAGGTTAAATTCTGGTGCTTAGAGAAGGATCCTACCACAGTCTTTTATAACTTGTAGGGGACTTCATATCATGTCACATCACTTAAGTATCTTAAAAGCCCTTGGATACTTTAACATACAAGTAGATTAGTGTTCATAAGTGAATTAACTGTATACTTTCTTTAGGCACATGCCAGCACATACAAGCAGAGAGGTTTTGGTAGTCTTCAGCAGCCTGACGACATGTGATCCAGCCAACATCTATGATCTAATTAAGGTACAGAAGTGAAGTTTGACTACTACATTGAATATCCAGTTTGACTACTACATTAGACTAAGACAGTTGCAGAGTCATTGCTAATTAATTTTCATTTAAAACTTTGAACCTCTTACTGTTTTCTGTTCTGCACATAAATTTGAGTATTCCTTCTTTTTCCATTTGAAGTGTTTAAAAGCAGTTAAGATCAGAGTGTCTGTCATCGGCCTAAGTGCTGAGGTTCGAGTTTGTACAGTACTTGCCCGAGAAACTGGTGGTATGTATCCAAAGTTCAGTAGTTATACTACTAATACAGGTTCTAAATAAAAATTAGGTAACTAATTTGTCATATATTCCTTAAGGCATTGTGATATTTAAGGATGAATATTCTGTTGTGCTGGCAGAAAATTCAAGGTTTTCTCAAATCTACAAAACACACAGTATTCAGTGAAATTATCAGTTGCTACCTGCATCTCTAGAGAGAAGAAATATATATATTTTAAAACCTAGTGTTGCTCGTATAAAGCTTTGTGATGTGGAGCTATTGATATTGTTAATATCAATTAGTACAGTAGTAACTCTTACAATAACATTACTACAGTGTAATATTGGAGAAAAAGCTATGGGCTTTCATATCTAATTAAATGTTCTTGTGTTATTAATCTAAAAACTTGTCATTTTCAGTATCATTAACAGGATTAGTTTTTAGGAACAGGGTTAGCTAATTTTTTTATTTTTTTTTTTTACTTCAGTTATTTTCTGTTGTCTGGAGAGTATGTTTGTGTTCTTACCTGCTGGTAATCTGAGAGTAAGGCATTTCTTTCTTTGTGACAGGAACATACCATGTTATTTTAGATGAAAGTCATTATAAGGAACTGCTGATGCATCATGTTAGTCCTCCACCTGCCAGTTCAAGTTCTGAGTGCTCCCTTATTCGAATGGGTAGGATATGGTTTTTGTTAAAATCCTAGCACAAGATTTGCAAGTCTTGTCCTTTTCTTTCCTCACATCATCTGTGTAAAGCCATAAAAATAGTTAAAAGCATAATAAAGACATTGGAAATTGTGGATTTGGGGGGGGGTGTTATTTATTTTACCATTTATTGTGCTAAATACCAATTTTCTTGATGTTGTTCATGCAAAGTAGTCAGCTTTTAAATAAAGTTAAGAACTAAATAAGGCAAAGTATTCAATTTCAGTTTGAAAAAATGAAGTAGAATTACATTACTTATTCAGTAATTGGTATAAGTGTAATACTTAAAAATTAAGGATGAAAAATTATTTTGTTTTTCCTTCAGTTTTGGGGTTTTTTCCCTGCAGAGGCAACTATTACAAGCTTTATTGACTCTAAGAGTCAATCTTTTTGTCATGTCAAACATCTGTTTGGCCATGTAATACATGTTTGTTAGGGCCACTTTTGTGGTGCTCTTTCAGCAAATGGATTACGTGCCTCTTCTTAAGATGTGTTTCTCAATAAATCTAAGCCTGGAGTTAAACCAGAATAGGAACTCTAATGCCACAAATTAGAGCACTGATTACTCACTTTCATCCACCCATTTTCACAGATAAGAATGTATGTATTTTCATGTGTAGATTTAAATACTGAAAATATTTGTTATAGGTAGAGCCTGAGCAGCAGTTGGAAACTGACTGCCCACTTGACATGAGCTGTAAAAAATAGGTGATAGAAAGAATGGTATCTTTTACAACACCCATAAAGTGGTATAGTCTCATCTGTTATATACTGCACTTGGAAGGTGAATACACACTTGGTGTCTGCACATGAAAGGATTTTCCCCTCAATTAGAAACTATTGTTCAAGTAAACATTCATGTAGTGCTTTTTCTGCTTTCCTACCATTGCACATCACTTTCTTTTTAGCTGTTCATAAGAAATGGGGTTCCAGTAAGCTTCAGTTAATATGAAGTCTATGAAAAGATTTTTTTCAGTTGAAGAGAATACAATGAGGGATTTGTTGGTGGATGTGGGTAGAGAAGAATTTGATGCCTAGTAAAGAGTTTATTTCTTCTGTGATAATAAACAAAAGAGATAGGCTTTAATGTTTAGAATAATCTTTGAACTTCTCCATTGAAGTAAGAAACAGAAAGATTAGTTGCATGTTTAAAATTGGTAATATGGGATGTTTTTCTCTTCAGGTTTTCCTCAGTATGCTATTGCTTCTCTATCTGACCAAGATGCAAAGCCATCCTTTAGCATGGTGTAAGTAGAATTAGAATTCAGTTAGCTGATTACAATTCAATAATAATCAGTCATATTTAGAAAATCTACTTGTCAGTAAAAATATTGCAAAATAATATGAAAAAATAATAAGTAACATCATGTGACTTCGGAGTAGAAATTTTATTTCTATTTGTACATCCAGTATATAGCTATAGTTGCCTCTGTTAAATAACGCTTTTTAAAATCTATTTTTTTTTTTGTAAGGTAATAAATGGCTTTTAGTACTGTTGTGCAGTGATTAGAACACAAGGGTGCTACAAGATAATAAAGTGATTACTACCAATTTTTACTTGCATTTCATGATTCGAGTATTTTTGTCGCTATAAAGATAATGATGAGGATGAAGGGTATTATCTGTAATGAGGTATTTTTTATCTATTTTCTAATGTGACTTTAGAGGGAAGTTTAAAATAGGGGCTTCATATGATTAATGTACTGGTGCTTTTCTCAGTGAAAGGAATCATAGTTTTGAAGCATGGTAGGAGAGCCTGAATTTTCAGAAGGGAAGTGTCGGCTGTTTGTAAGAATAAGGACCAACATCCATCTTAAAAGTCAATACAGAATATTTTTTTGTTTAAGGAGACATACTAATGCTGTTATCTTTCATAAATTTGTTTTTAAAGATGCATTAGCTCCTTCATGTGGGAAAACATGGTTACTGATACCTTACCATTATCGGTTGCTTTCTGAAACTTCCATACGCATGGAACTGTTGCATGGAAGCTACTGAAACTTTTTAAAGTATTTGGTGTGAGAATGTAGTATTTGTGTTACCTCTTAGATATTAAATTGTCTCTCTCTAGGCAATTGGAAAACAACAGTGAGCCAGGTCTTACACTGGGTGGATATTTCTGTCCCCAGTGTAGAGCCAAATACTGTGAACTTCCTGTGGAATGCAAAATCTGTGGTGAGTAGCAAGAAGAGGTGAGCAGATGAAATATGAATTAATGTTGGGAAAGATACGGGTTAGAAAAATTCAACTACACTTAGGAATTAAAAGCCAGCTCAGCTCTAAGAAGCCTGCATTCTTGTGTCCTGGGATGTCAGCGTCGTACAAGGGACTTTCAGGACTATACCTGTAACAGAAAAGCTGTATCGTATTCCCTAGTATGTTATAAATGAAAAACACTAAAGCAAAGGGAGGAAGAAGGGTAATTCACATATGAATGGTAATAATTTCCTGAAGAATCCTGATTTAACAGACACACCAATGTTTCTGACTCCTCAGTGCAAGGCCATGTCTTAGCAGGACAGAAGTCTTCTCTCACGTCTGGAAGTATGTGGGTGAGAAGTTTCAAAATTGAACCCAGGGTCAGGCTGCACAGTGACACATGAAAAGCTGTAGGGTTGTAAACAGAAGCCCTTTGGTCTTGCAAATGTTAATGCAACCAGTGGTGCCTCTGCCCTGCCTTAATAAGGGTAGGAGGGAGGATTAGCATTTTTTAGAGTATTAGTACAGTGTGAGCGACAGCTGTTCTTCTGTTAGCTTCTACAGGCATACGACTAAATTATAGGTATTACCAAGATGTGTGTATTTGGCAAGAGGATGAAATAACTTCAGTTTGGGTTACCTTGTCCTAGTTTCATATGAAAGTTTTCGTATCAGCATGAGTTTTGTTTCAGCAAAGCAGTAGTGTAACTGGAGAAATCCTATGTATCAACAACAGGTTCCCCACAGCTGTAGCTGTCAGTAGAACAAGAGCTCAGAAGTTTACACTGCATGTGAGTGATGAAGGAGTTTGTGCCAGCCCATACCCCAGCTAATCTATTGTCATGGTTTAACCCCAGCTGTCAACTAACCCCCACCAGCCACTCACTCACTCACCACCAGTGGGATGGGATAGAGAATCAGAAGAGTAAAAGTGAAAAACTCGTGGGTTGAGATAAAGACAGCATAATAGGTAGAGCAGAAGCTAAGCAAAGTAAGGAATTAATCTACTGCTTCCCATCAGCAGCCATCTCCAGGAAAGCAGGGCTCTGTCATGTCTGACAGTTACTTGGGAAGATAGATGCCATAACTGCGAGTGTCCTCCTACTTCTTTCTTCTTCCCCAGCCTTATGTGCTGAGCATGACACCATATGGTGTGGGATATCCCTGTGGTCAGCTGGGGTCAGCTGTCCCGGCTGTGTCCCTCCCAGCTCTTTGTGCACCCCCAGCCTGTCACGGGTGGGGTGGGGTGGGGTGGGGAGCTGAAAAGGCCTTGGCTCTGTGTCAGCACAGCTCAGCAGTAATGAAAACATCCCTGAATTATCAACACTGTTTCCAGCACAAATCCAGAACAGAGCCTAGACTAGCCACTATGAATTAAAATAACTCATTAACTCTATCCCAGCCAAAAACAGTAGACCTGTGTTAGCTGAAACAGAGCTGTGGAATGGTATTATAGCAGGTTTAAGTAGAGCTTTGTAGTTGGGCGTCATTTTAAATAGTGACATGAAACAACAGAACTGTTGTTTCCAAAAAGGAGTTGTGCGTTTAGATTTAAACAGATGACTCCTCTATGGTTGTGTTTTGGTTATGGCATGAGGATGAAAAACTTGCTAACTTTACAACTGTGCATTGTAAATGTACTTCTAAATATTGAGCTAAACCTTTTAATTAGAAATTTGGGCTTGTTCTTCATACTTGGATTTAACTCTGGAAAGGATTACAGGTTTGGATTATGGAAACGAACAAATACTTCTGTGTTTTTTAATTCTTAAAAGTTCTGAACCACTGAATAATTTAAAAATATGGTTTTGTTTTGTTTTGGTTTTTTTTTTTTCTCTGGTTTGTTTAATACAGAAAAGCTTTTCAGTAAGTCCTCTTGTAACAATTCTGATGTCTCTTTATTTGCAGGTCTCACATTAGTCTCTGCACCTCATCTGGCTCGGTCTTACCATCACTTGTTTCCTTTGGATGCCTTTCAGGAAGTTCCCCTGGAAGAGTATCAGGGGGAACGGTATGCAAATCATGTTTGTGATAACAAGTGTACTTGTGGACCCTGTAATTTTTTGGTCATGAAATGAAGAATAGCTGGTAGTAGCTTCTTTGCTGTGGAAACAGTATTGAATGTTTGGGTGGTTTGAGACATCTACAATAAGAAATATTTGTAGTTCCCATGAACAGTTACCCTGTGTGTTTAGTTGAATAGATGAAATAATTGCCATGAGTTGTTACTATGTATGAGATGTTTTTTAAACCCTGTTTCACACAATCAGGACTTTTTTTTTCAGTTAAAGTACACAATTTTGCTTTTAGGTGTTGTCAAGGCTGCCAGGGAGAAATGAAAGATCAAAATGTAAGTACGTTGAACTGCATTGCAAGTTTCATTGAGGAGTGTCAGAAGTAAAGAGGATCCTTTAATGTAGTCTTCTGAAGATGAGAAAAATATGTGTGGAAGTTTATCTCATGGTTAACTTGAGTTCTCTGTTAGAGTCATGCCTTTTAGACTGCAAAGACTGTGAAGGTGTGGGAGGGGATTTTCTAAACAGTGGCATAAATAAGCTTCCACTCAGCCATTTGAAGGCACCTACAGTGATTCGAGCTCAGCCCTTTGGACATATTTGCTGTTAGAAACTTTAATTGAATTGGGCTTTTGTGACATTAGGAGTATAGTCTGTTTCCAGTGTCTTGATGACACAACTGTTGACCTACCGCAGTAATATTTTTTTTTTCTTTAGTCTAAATTTAACTTGCTTTTCTGTCTTTTCCACACAGGTTTACATATGTAAAGTGTGCCAGAACGTGTTTTGCGTGGATTGCGATCTGTTTATTCATGATTGTCTGCACTGCTGTCCTGGCTGTGTTCATGGGCACTCTGCTCCCACGTCTGCATGATGTCATATCAGTGTAATTCCTGCATACATCTGGTTTGCTTATTCAGCCCTGGCTTTCAGTGAGGCACCTCAAAGCAAGGAGGACATAGATGATTACAGAAGGATGAACACTGGCCTGGGAGCAAACTTTTTTGCTAATGTATTAATGATTTTGCTACTTATAATATATTCTTGAATTATGTATATCTGACTTATTTGTTCTTGTCAAAAAAGCTCTGGTTTTCTGAATGTTACTCTGAGTAACATGTATATTTGTAAATGTGAAAGTGATGAAACTGGTTTTATGATAATATGGCAATTCATCTATGTTTCATTAAATGTTCAGAAAAGAAGCCCTGCAAATATATTTTATATATCCATTGTTATAAGCTCCAGGTTTTAGTGGATGATGCAGTTCTGTAGATCAAAATTATTATTTTTTTAAAGTACTTAATAAAAATGCTTTCGAGCAATTCATTGGGAAACATTTCAAATACTAATTTCAAGTAGTGTGGCTATTCACCTGGGCCTTCAGAAAGGCAATTCAAATATAGCTGTTACAAATGTGCTGAAAATACATTTTGGGTTTTAATGGTACTACTCAAAACCAACTGAATTCTGTGACTGCTGTGTCTGTTGTTGTGTGGTGTCAGTCTCACTTTCTCATGGGAGTGTAAGGTCACTGAAAGGCAATGAATTTGCAAAGGTCTAAGACCTGAGTTTTTACAAATCGTTTTTTGATGGTCACAGGATGGAAAACAGTGATGTTATTTTGATTGTGAGGCTAGTATGAATTGCCACACCTGCAAGTCGTCTTCTCTCGTTGACTAAACCCCCAGAGCAACAGGCAAAGAGGGTGAAGAAGTGGAGGCATGTGCCCTTATCCCCACATTGAGGATGGAAATTGAGGCAAACGCAAGACGCTCTTTGCCATTTTGAACAGTGTGTGTTGAAAGTGTCATTGCAATCAGAACTTGTGAGAATGTAACATCTCGTCGTTACATTCTTGTGAATTCACTCCTGAGAATGCCACAGCTCAGTGAGAGGAGGTTGTGGTGGCGCAGTGTCCAAAGCAGCATGTCGCAGCTGTTCTTCTGAAGTCATCTCGTGACGTCTGTAATACACCCTGAGTAACTCAGTCACTGATGTGTCTCACTTGATTTTTTAAATTGTGACCTTCATTGTCAGGTGTGGAACAGCAGTGACCTAACCACCGACTCTTAAAAGCACAAATGAAAAAAGCAAACCTTTGCCTTGAGTTTTCATGCTCACCGCTTACATATAATCCATGCCACTTTTCACAGGCAGCTTTCAAGTCCAAATTCCCAGTTGCTAACATAGCTCCTGTGCTTTTTCTACTATTTATGCCTGCATGCTGCAGTAATTCTGTTGTGTTGGCAAGAAAATGACTTTCGGCATCTGTATTTTATTGTGCACTGGGTCAAACAATCCCTACAAACCCTTTGTGCTACCAGGTGATTGCAGTGCCTGTTACTGTAAGGGTGTCGTGAAATCTAGCAAAAAAGGGTCATACTCATGGGTTTTGGTGTGATCTAGTTTCTTAGAAAGCATCTATTTCTTAGATACTCTGATAGTGGTGATAATGTCTTAACATCATTTTCTGATAATATTTTCATCTTCACAGTCAGCATTTCCTAATGGAAAAAAAGGTTTGATCAAAACACTTCAGATCTGTTCTAGGTCTTTCTCTTACTAGATACTAAAATAACGTACTTGGAAGTAGAAGCTGTTTAGGATTTGTGGCTATATCCTGTTATGTGCTTGTGGTCTCAGTAATAATTTGGCTTGTACTTCTCATGGGGTAGGAAGAGCAGTTCAAAATAGGTCCTGAAAAATCACTATCGAGGCAACGTTTTTCTGATGCACCAAGAATTTCAGCTGTGGCCTTTGTAAATACAAAGCATGGAAGAAATGCTTCCTTCATCTGTACTCTTTGGGATTCACTGGATCTCGAGTCTCCTTTACTTGTGAGAAGCCACAACTAGCTTAATTCTTGTTCTTGCATTTTCTTACTTAATAGATCTGCTACAAGTTTAGTCAGTCAGTGAAGGTATTAGCAGGCCTCTGAGGAATTCTTATACTTCCTGAAGACATTGCATAATATATGAATTTGGACATGAAGTGTTGAGGGAAGAGACAAAAAGACAAAAGGGTTGAAGACAACTGTGGAAAGAAGTCTGAGGCTGAAAAGCACAGTCAGAGTAGAGAACACACTGCCGTGTGGAGGGAAAGGTATTTCAGAGAGGTAGGTGCCCTTGCTTTCCTTCCACTTTATACTTGCCTTGCAGGAATTAAGTATCATCTGTATTAATGGTCATAATTAATTTCAACACTGGAAACGCTGAAAATACATTAGTTAAAATATGAATAAAAGAAATGTCTGGGTTTAGTTTTGCATAACCTCAACTCCTGAAGAATTTACTGCATGAGACAGACCAGGAGGCCATATATGAGGATCAGTTTTAATTCTCAATTGTGGTGTAGTTTATGGATGAAAAAACGCCATGAAGAAGCAGATCTGAAGCATTACTGGATTGAGCTGGTTCCTTGGATGAAGGAACGAGAGTGGCTTAGTTTTCTTTCAAAAGTCATCAAATTTGCATGAGAATCACATTTCCATATTTAGGAAAAATATGTCTGGTGCCCATAATGCTGCTCATGAAAGTTCTATTGGGTCTGTGTGGCAAGGATTTGGTAGCAGGGAGCTACAGGAGTGGCTTCTGCGAGAAGCTGCTAGAAGCTTCCCCCATGTCCCATAGATCCAATGGCAGATGGCTCCAAGATAGACCCGCCACTGGCCAAGCCCAAAACCCCCCCCCGCCACTGGCCAAGGATGAGCCCATCAGCAACAGTGGGAGCACCTCTGGGGTAATATAGTTAAGAAGGGGAAAAAGTTACTGCACGGGAGCAATTTCAGCTAAAGAGATGAGTAAGGACCTGTGAGAGCAACAGCCCTGCAGACACCAAGGTCAGTGCAGAAGGAGCAGGTGGTGCTCAAGGTGCTGGGGCAGAGATTCCACTGCAGCTCATGGTGAGGCAGCTGTGTGCCTGCAGCCCGTGAAGGTCCATGGTGGGGCAGATAACCCCCTGCAGCCCATGGAGGTCCATGGTGGGGCAGATAACCCCCTGCAGCCCATGGAGGTCCATGGTGGGGCAGATATCCTCCTGCAGCCCATGAAGGTCCATGGTGGGGCAGATATCCTCCTGCAGCCCATGGAGGTCCATGGTGGGGCAGATATCCCCCTGCAGCCCATGAAGGTCCATGGTGGAGCAGATATCCTCCAGCAGCCCATGCAGGACCCCACACCTGAGCAGGGGGGCACCCAAAGAGGCTGTGACCCCATGGGCAGCCTTTGCTGGAGCAGGCTCCTGGCAGTACCTGTGGCCCTGTGGAGAGAGGAGCCCACACTGGAGCAGGTTTGCTGCAGGACTTGTGACCTCACAGGTACCCACGTTGGAGCAGCCTGTTCCTGAAGGATGCATCCCATGGAAGGGACCCCTCGCTGAAGCCAGGGAAGAGTGTGAGGAATCCTCCCCTGAGAAGGAAGGAGCGGCAGAAACATGTGATGAACAGACCGCAACCCCCATTCTCTGTGCCCCTATGGGGTATGAGGTAGAGAAATCTGGGAGTGAAGTTGAGCTCAGGAAGGAGGGAAGGGTGAGGGGAAGGTGTTTTTAAGATGTGGGTTTATTCCTCATTATCCTGCTTTGGTTTGTTTGTAAGAAATTAAACTAATTTCCCTAAGTCGAGTCTGGTTTGCCCATGGCAGTAAATGCTGGATGAACTCTCCCTATCCTTACCTTGACTCAGGAGCCTTTAATTGTTTTCTTTCCCTTGTCCAGCAGAGGAAAGGAGCAAGAGAGCTGCTTTGGTGGGCACTTGGCCTCCAGCCAGGGCCAACCCACCACAGTAATCCTGCAAAATATAATGGAACTTGAAGACTTTCATCATTTTTGTAGCACTTCCTGCCTTGAGATTCAAAAGCAACTAAGTTGTGGAGCACACATTTTCTTGTGAGGAGCAAATGCAGTTTTTATAGCCAGTGAAAAAAACAACTGGTTGGAGATTCTGGATTTAGAGTCACATTCTTAAAAATTAATTTGTTTGGTAAATGTTGACTCAATTATTTGAGAAAACAAAGCCCTGTGGAGGTGCAGAATTAGACTATATAGAGCTGAACTGTAGACACATTTGCTGCATTCTGAACCATAATGTAGTAAAATATTTCCTACAGCTGCCTTATTGCAGTACTAGCAACAACAAGGTGTTATTACCCCTACAAGATAAGCTGTATTTGAGAAGGCTAGTGTAAATACCAGTCAGCAAACCCAGAGAGAAGTACTGACAGTATTTTAGTTAATAAAATTACATTCCCTTTCATTAAGGAGCATGCAATTCCTGCTAGTCACTACTTATGTTGGCAACAGTTGACATTTTTAAATACTGCAATAAAACAACTGGTGGCTTACTTACTGCAGCTCCCTTTCTGCCTCTTGTAAAGGTGTTCCTGAGCCCGGCGGCTCAGGTACCTGCAGTGTTCAACCATCTACCCCCAAAGAGTGGCTGCCTGCCTGCAGGTGTTGACCCAAGCTGTGGCAAAAGCATCTCTGCGGGGCAGCTACTGGCCATCAGCTTTGCAGCAATGAACAGCAATCACCCTTTGCTGGCAAAAGGCAGTGTGTTGTTCTGTTGGTATCAAACTACCCCAACCCAGCATGGTGGGCATGGCCACAGAACTGCTGCAAAGGAGCTGGTGAGAGGTAAAATGCCAAGTCCAAATTTGTGGGACTGCAAGAAGCTAGTGGAGAGGTTTTGTGCAGGACATGTTGCTGTGGGAGATGTTCACAGCTCCTCTCTTGGGTTGGGTTGTTGAGGCACCTTGAGCACATACACTGAGAAGGACAAAGCAGTTATTTACTGACTAACTCATGCAAAAGGTGGATGAGATGTTACGAGCTGAGGCTGAGCATTAGCATGCCTGGCACCCCACTCAGGCAAATGAAGGATGCTATGGCCACCCTGCTCGCTCTGCCTGCACCTTCCCTCTATCTCTGCTGACTGTCTTGCGGCTGGCTGCAGCAGTCTGTGCCAAGGTTATGCATCAGCGTCTTTATCAGAGTTGGGCCTTGGATTTTTCACAGGCACACAGCAAAACTGGGATGGAAGGTTACAGGGAGGAGAGGGAGAGATAGAGGAGCACTATGGCATTATCTGTATTACCATCTAAACTTTTGGCTGCAGCCTCTGTTCTATGAGTTAAGATTTCAAGGGCTGAAATCTATTTGGTCCATACTTACCATTACCTTCCCAGAATCTGCTTTTTTAACTCACTTTTAGTTATGGTACTTGGGAAAAGGCCACACAGCAAAACCTTCTTAGAGTAATTTTGCTGTTCATCGGACAGACAGCTGTCTACAGAAGCTAAAAATAAAAACCACCCCAAACCAAAACAAATCCCTGAATGCAAAGTGTGAAAAGTAAAACTTTATTCACAAGCATTTGAAACAAACAAACAAACAAACCAACCCCAAAATAATAAGCCTTTCTGAATCCAGCTGTCACATTGAGGATTCAGAACAGACCTGTAAAGATCTTTAGACATCATGGTATACTGTTCTCCAGGCCACTGCTACCAGTGGCCACTGTAACATATACCGCTGCTACAGCTGTCTCCTAGAAAAGCATACTGTAATCACTAGTTCTGGTGTTGTCAGTCACAGAAGTCCAGGGAATACAAGAGCTGTTAAAATGATAGATAAATGAAATCTATCACATGGGGTTAAAAGACTTAAAATCTATCATGTGGTAAAAAGAGAATTGTTTCAGGGAAGTAAAAAACAGTTTATTGCTACAGTGCTCTCTAAATACTTTTGACTAGAGGTCGAATAGAAATAGGTCACGAAATAGGTCAGTTCAGTGCACGCAATTACTAGTCTCAAGTTATTTGTTCACTTGTTATCAGAGACAGATTAATGTTAAGAAAATGTTAATTTCTTGAAAAAAGTCTGATCTTCACCATCAACCACCTGTGAATAAGCGAGATACCCCTCAGTGGGAAAGATTTGTACCTGGCTTTAAAAAAGAAGCAAAAATTAGTACAGGAGGGCTTTTCAGCTTGTTAGCAAAATAAAAAAGAATTATTCAACTGCACAGAAATTAGATACTGCCTTGGAAAAAAGAAGTCCCCAAGACAATATAGTTTTGTTCTATAAAGAACTGAACAATATACTGGAGAATTCTAAACATAAGATCTCAAATAAAAGCACAATCACTGAAGTAGTGGGAATAGAATCACTTCACAATATTAAACTGAAATGATCTTGTCCTGAAAAAAAGTTCAGCTACACATCCTGCTATCCCAACTTCACGAGGAAGGAGTTGCTTCTGAAGATGTGCACATAGATGAGAAGATAGCATTTCACTTTACCTTTTATTTTCAAAGTAGCCCATAAACAAGTAAGATTAACCCTTAGTAATTCGAGTAAGCCGCGCTGCTAATCCTGATGTAGAGACACGCTGTAGTTAAACCTCTCATCAGAGAAATAAAATACTTTCCTCTGTTCAAGCCAAGACGGCTGCCATTCCACGGCTGCTAAGCGAAGAAGGGATTAATACTGGCTGAAGTGGTCTTTGTAGAGATGTGAGAGTGGATGGAAGTCCCAAGGCTCACAGTTTTTTCACAGAATTCGGGACTTGTTGAGAGCTTGTAAAACGAACTGTAGTTTCGAACAGATTGGTCAAGCCACACTGTATCTTCTTTTAGCACAAGAGGACGATACTTACAACTCTTCAAAACAGTGATGGATATTCAGTTACTTCGCATGTGCTTGTCGCTCCAGTGCTGCTTCCATTCGACTTTGTTTTAAACCCTACAGGATACAATTTAGCAAAATCCTGGTTTTACTAACATGGAAATAAAAGCTTTAGTCACAGAACAATGCATTTTTTGACAATATTCTTTTAGCCCTTTACAAATCAAGAATAGCTTTGTACTCTTTGGGGAAATCAGAATGGGTGGTTTTACCAAAGGACAAAAGCCAAACTCCATGTCTTCTTTATAATTAGTGGCTCTGCAGTGTAATTTCAATCCACAACTACATATAATCTGAAAAAGCAAGTTCCAGTCTTTCGAAGATACCCTGCAGCACCAGATCTCCCCTTTCCAACTTCCCCAATGCGAAGCGTTTAATTCCTCCTGTATTTTCTTCTTAAGTGTACAAATGAAATAGAAATCTGTACTCTATGCCACAGATTTTCCATAACTACACTGACAGCTCCAGCTGCACCTTCACAGCCACCTGAAACAATTACTGATGAATACTCTGCAAAATTCATAGGATAGAATCATAGAATAGTTTGGGTTGGATGTCAAATCTGATCTTAAATGTGACGTTACCACTGACAAATACATAGAAGACCACTGAATAATAAATATATTCAGATTTACTCCATCTGTCTACAAAGACAGAACTGGTTGTTTCAGAATGCCTATGAAAGTACCTAATGGGACCACTCCAATGAAACAAAGAACTAATACATCACTTACGTATATATGCTGGCTCATGCGACTCATACTCAAGCACGAGTATACTTATACAATATAAAATACCCTTAAATACAGCTATTATATGTTAGAATAAGAGATCTAAAAAGCAGTCTAACTTCTTGCTGAAAACAGTGGCAGCAACACAAAAGCAAAATTACAGGGACACCCCAAGACAAAAGTAGCACATACCAGGTAATACCCCGTGTGATAACCACTCATATACCAGGCTATCAACATGCTCCCCAATGCTTCATCATCGTCATGAGAGTCCAGCCTCATAGGCGGTGGAGGAGGAATCAACTAAGAAATCAAAAAGGAAACGACTGTGTTTCAGTAGGGCATATCCCAGGTTAAAGAGCAACCAATTCTAGATCAAAGATAGAAACATAAAACTGAAACACACGTGCACATACTCAATGCATTCTCTGAAAAGGAGTCAAATAAGATCATCTTTTCTCAAAGAATCAAGCAAACAAAAAAAAAAAAGTAAATTCAAAGCCTGGGAGAAACAGGATTCCTGTAAGATGACTGCACACAATCATTTTTATTCTCTGGCACTTTCTTCCTCATTCTCCTGAGACTTACCGGAGGTCCTGGTGGGAAGGGTGGGGGCCAGCAAGATAAAAACGATGGAGATGCCCTGAATTTTGATCCAGACTATAGTGAAAGAATTAAATATTGCAGATTGAAAAGAGATTTCAGGCATTACAATTTTATTTAAGAGAATTCTTTGAAGCAGTTCACCTACCTTAAACTAAAGACACATCCAACCCCATCCCAGCAATTTAATGAAACTACAGTGACTACAGAGTAGCTACTTCTGTGGAGGACTCCATGACTGGAAAAGTAAAACTTAACATTACACGTGTCACTGCAGTTAACGCTGCTGAAACATAGTCCTGGTCAACACAAGCGTTTAAGAAAGTTTTCTAAACAGAAGTCAGTGGTCGCATTCTCAAATGCAAAGATGTTTGCCTGCAGGCAAACAGGAAATTTCTGTGCTCCTGTGTGGCTGGGGGCACATGCTGGCTAAATTCCATCATGCTTGTGAACAACTTTAAAATGAGCTTAGTTACAAATCTATTGATGTGAAAGAAAAAAGACAGAAAAAAACCTTACAAAATAAAAAATCTTGCACAAACAGTAACATTTAGAAAACATAATGCTGTGTTTGAGTGCACTGTCATTCAGACTCCTACACAACAGGAAAACTGAAAAGTGTAACAATACCACAGCCCTCATAATTAAGTACATAAGCTGAAGCTGAGAGCACCTATGACACCCAGACATGACTTTTGCTGCCTTCAATGTCCTGTGTGCTGAGACACACCAACTGGCTAGAAAAAATGCAATCTTAAAACATCAACAGTGCTATTATTAACAGCACTATCACAGCCCAGGGAATAACATCCCTTTACAACACTTTAAAGTTACGAGGCACTAGTAAAGCAGGTGTTAGATAGGGAGAAGGCTTTTCTCACTGGACAGCAGCACTGCAAAAGCAGCTACATTACTGTGAAGTGACACACTGACAGCACCAACATGTATCTGTATATCCATTCTCAAAATGCTGTTATTTGGTTTCTAGACAATAATGAATCTCATCCTGTTGTCTCAGAATCTATAGTAATAATACCAGGCTTAACAGTGGTATATGAATTATTAAGGCTGAGGTTACCCTTCCCAGGCCTGGGACTCCTGGTGGTACAGGAAAATGAAGGTTTTGAGGGAAGAATCTTCCTTTCATGAAGCTGTTTTTGTTTCCAGGTGACTGAGAAGATTTTTCACTTTCATCTGTTGAATATGGAGTCTCATTCTCATTCTAGAAGACAAATACACTCTTATGAGATGCACTAAAAAGGATTGCTTGCAGTACAGCAAGCAATTTTAGTGCAAAAAAGCTTGGGAAGCCCCATTCCATGCTTCACTCTCTGTAGCCCTCCCAGTCCTACTCAGGAAAGATCTCATAACCTCAGAGTCTTATCTGCTCACCATTTTATCTCTTATCTTTCACTCCTGAATTTCTTGTTGTCCCCTCCCTTTCTTCCATGCTGAGTTCAAGAGGGAAGGGGATGTTTTCATTCCCTCCATCAGCTTGTGTCCGTTCACAATGGAATCGGGTATCGATTCTCACTCCGAACACCGCAGTGGTACCAGAAATACTTCGAAAGTTGATTCTCCCACTTTCTCTTTTCTTTTTGGAAGAGCAAAAGAAGCGTCCCTCACCTCCCCAGAACTCCCCATCCCATTTACTGTTTCATTGCTGGCTGGAGGAAGTAGATCAGTCAGGTTCTGCTCCTCCTGGTTTCCATATCCGGTGTAAGTAACAACACACGTGCCTCTCTTGTGATTGATGGAGGTAATAGTTGCGAGGTACACGTTACCATCCTCAGACCAAACAGCATTGCAGCTGTCACCAACTTTCCACTGCAACAGAAGAAAAAGAAGCAAGTAAATACCTACCCCAGTGACCAGCAAGATGCCTTTTCCCAAACTGCTCTCTGTCCCAGCCACCAGGACGATGACTCCCACCCAGGGGGGTTGCCCTTTGTATTAGTGACATTAATCAGTGCAACCCATAAATAAGGTTTTGAACGTTATCACCCCTTCCCCGAAACATTACGCTCAAGGTTCCACGGAAGGCTACTTGTGAGTACCACAGGAAAGCACAACAGCAGAAGCGTTGCTCGCATTTACAGACGAGGTGACCTGTTTCGAAGGCACCACGTTGGTCCTCCCTCTGCTTTTGTTCTTTTTATTGTTCCTTCTCTTCATCCCCTGGCGCTGCTCCTGTTTGTCCGAAGGTTCCGAACACTCCCCGTTCTTTAAGGCGTTCTTCGGGAACAGAAAGGAGGAACACGATAAGCGACCATCCGCCAGCCCGGGCCCGCTGCGCCCGGGCC